CAACAGACACGATAACAGTCTGGCACAGGCAATTCTAGTTGCATTTTTCATCAATTCATTTCTTAAATTATCTTTTGACTATGTTCTGGGCCGCCATGTAGTGGCGCAAACTTTTTTGGCCCGATGCCAAACTTACTCGCCGACCCCTGGTCTAGATGTTCAAAGCTAGTAGAGACAGAGACAAATCCCAACAGACTAAAAGCTGTAATTAAAGCAAAAGGTGGTTCAACAAAATACAGACACAAGGAGGTGATCCTTTTTCATTCAGTGATTGTTTTTTTTTTGACATGTTGGTGTTATATCTTTCACTTGGATGTTATAAGTTGCACTGAGTAAATACAACTGGATAAAACAAAAACTGTGTCCGTCTTCATTTCAGGCTGCAAAGCAACAAAATGTGATTATTTTAAACGGGGATAATTTTCTATAACCACTGTAACATTTGGATGAACTGGAGCAGGTATTCAAAGAAATGGATTGATGGAATGATGGGAATAGTGATAAAAAAATCTAGATGGATGGTTCGGAGTAGTTATTGAATGGAAAGATGGATGGATGAACACTGACCAGGATATCTTCTACATTAAAGACATCCAGACTCATTTACAAAGACTGATTTGACAAAAACATGGCCCCTACTGCATTGTGTCTGTGACCTCTGAACTATGACCTCTGACCTCCATTAGGGGTGATGGAGAAACAGCCCTCATAACACTGGATCAATAATACACTTTAAAACATGAACAACCAGTACCAGCACAAAGGACACTTAATGTAAAATATTTTCTAGTTAAATTATCATTCTGAACCATCTGCCCTGGGGAAAACTTATCAGACTGTGCTGCTAAATACTCACTCAAACCAGGAAGACGGGCAATTTTAAGCAACACCGCAATGTTTGAAAATCAGGCAATTAGGGAAACTACAAAACAAATTAAACTTGGTGAAAGAGTGACTGCAACAAAGATTATTGAGAACAATTACCCAGAGGGACACGTCAGTTGCATACTTACGATCAATGTGACATTTAAAAAAGCAGACGCATTCTTCAAAAGTAACAAGTATTGATTTTACAAATAAAAAACAAAACAGTTCTGTCTGTATGTGTATATATAATTTACTTGGTGCTGCTAAGTTACAATCAAATTTCTGAATATTTTTATGATCACAGATTTCTATGCCACTTCTACTGATTTATTTCTTTTTGTTCATAAATTACCTATTAATTTTTTTGCTTCAAAAACAATGGCAGCAAAGGATGAAACTAGGTTGAATTCTAAATATAAATGTGTAAATATATATTAAATATGTATAATAAATATATATAAATTACATTTTAAATATGGTAGCAAGACTGTTACAGTGAAAAAAATTATGATACAGTAGGTGACAAATATTAAAAATATAAATATTAGTTCTCACTTTAAATACAATTGATTTAAAATTTAAATAATTTAATACTGGTTTTAGAAATACACTAGCATATACAGTTAAATTACCTCAAAGCTAACAGACATGGACTTTAAGCAACAAAACTCCAATTTTGAGTTCATGTGGTCTTTACACCTTTTTCATACTTATATGAAACCCTACAAGCAGGTCTTCACCCAGTTGACACACATAAAACACCGCAATTTCATATGTGTCAACATGCTAACTTCGTCAGACAAGCCACTCTCAAACAGTCACTCTTATACAAAGACAACGACTACAAAATCCACTTGTATTCATGTATAAGGCATCAGGAGACAGAGGGGAGTCCACACACACTCCACTATGGTAATTCTCATTAGCGGGCATAACTTCGCCAAAAAAGCCACTCTCAAACAGTCACTCTTATACAAAGACAACGACTACAAAATCCACTTGTATTCATGTATAAGGCATCAGGAGACAGAGGGGAGTCCACACACACTCCACTATGGTAATTCTCATTAGCGGGCACACGGAGGACGAGTCTCCATTGGCTCAGGTTAAAGAGGGTGAGAACAGAGAGAGATGGAGGGCGTTTTAAAGTAACTTCCCAGAGGAGTAACAGCTTCCACTCAACAGAAATACACACGCATTATTATAGTTGATGGACAATTGGAGTCCTGGCCATCTGCTCCTTCTGTGTTTGAAGTGTGCAAGTACACAAGCTGGACTGTTAAGAGTTCAAGCTCAAGGTTAAGTAAGGCCCCTGCATGCCACTTAAATTCATACATTCACGCATCCTTCTGCCACAACTTAGCATCGTATAAAAAACAGCCATTTTGTAGAGCCACTGGTGTGTGACGGGGAGAGAGCATGTTCCTGTATTGCTCTACAGCAGGGGTGCCCAACCCTGCTCCTGGCGATCGACTGTTAGGGTTGGAGCTGAACTTTGCAGGACAGTCGATCGCCAGGAGCAGGGTTGGGCACCCCTGCTCTACAGTCTACAGTTCACTCTATAAACAGTATGTTAACCTGAGCTCTTTGTTTAAAGCAAGCGGTCAAGAGTTGGCTGGTTAGCATCATCTGTTAGCCCCTGCTGGTAGATGCAGTAACTACACCATCTGCCTTTCTCTGCTGACGGCTGTAACTGTGAAATCTGAGGGAATTTTTTTGTAAGTAACATATTGCAAATTGCAAATATTTCAACATTCTATAGTAGTTGTTTATCAGTGCCTGACCTTATTTTTTTTTGAAGGCTCTTAAAAGTGTGAAAATGATTTATAATTTGCCTAACATCACAAGATACTTCCATAAACATTACAGTTACTACACACATCCAGCACACACCAACACAGGAACATGTACCAACTTCACTTTTATATGACAGATACGTTTTTTTTAAATAGAATTATTATCCAGAACACGATTTGTTCTATTTGATCTATTATAACTAAATTATTATACTGTAACAATAAAAAACATAATACACATTCTAACATTTTTTTGCATTAATAATATACTTCCGTTTAACTGTTTTGGGTCAGTAGGTTCTTTTTTTTTTTAAGAAAAATTATTACTTTTATTCAGCAAGAATAGAATAAATTGATCTAAAGTGACAGTAAAGACTTTTATAATGTTACAAAAGATTTCCATTTCAAATAAATGCTGTTTTTTAAACTTTATATTCCACAAAGCATACTATTAAAAAATTATCAGTTTTCAAAAATATTAAGCAGCACTTTTTTGATTAATTCTGAGTTATTTTTTATCCATTCCACATCTCCCACATGTGTGTGTTTTAGTAAGGCGGTCGGTGTTGCAAGTTGGTGAATGAAGATACTTGCCAGGTTACGTGTCACTACCATAGACTGTATAAAAACAGTCACTACTCTGCTTTATTAATTTATCCAGTGTAAAACCCGGACACCGGTTTTCTATTTTCAGCATTTATAATAACAATAAATGTTTCTTGAGCATCAAATCAGTGTATTAGAATGATTTCGGAAGGATCATGTGACACTGAAGACTGGAGTAATGATGCTGAAAATTCAGCTTTGCATCACAGGAATATATATATTTTTTTACAATATAACAATATTTTACAGAAGTTTTTACTGTATGTTTGGTGAGCAAGGCTGCATTTATTTAGAAGAAAAAAAATCTTATCAACTCCAAATGGTAATGTAATTATTATTGCCAATTTATTTCCATAAATGTCTTGGGTTAATTGTTCTTTCTCATATGAGAATGGAAAGATCTCGCATTCTTTGCATTTTCCACAATGCATCCATGTCACAAGACACAAGTACTGATCTGTCTATGTTAAGTTCTAGTACTAAAACCAATGGAACAAATGAAGCTAGTCTTCTCCTCCTGAGTTACCTAGCAACAGCAAACAAAGATGAAAAACTTTGGGCCGGCAACAGTGCCTTAACTTGTAAAATGATTATCTTGAGTGCACCACTGAGAATTAATGCATACAAATAATTATGAAATCTCATTTCCAGGAGGGGTGGCTCATATTTATATCCAAACTGTAAATAATTTATGCTGGGGAAGTGGATAGCAAACTAGTGCAGGTGACACCTGGACTATAAACACTTTCTCAATCCACTTTTCAAATTAGGATGACTCCCATCAAGAATGTTGCTATTTTATGAGAGGAAATGGCATTTGTTCAGAATCAAGCATGAGATTTTGGTGCTGCATAACGGCTCACATGGTGAATTATTTAGCCTCAATCACTTATGAAGGCTTTCTCCTGTGGTTGCAAGTACTGATCTAAGGACTCCACCATTTGCATGTTGAGTTTTCTGACGTCTCTGCGATTCATGGATCCTCCAGGCCTTTTCATGGCTCTTGCGTTTGGTTCTCCCCTCCAGCAGAAGAGCATTTATCTGTTCATTTCCAACGTTTTGAATTGCCAAATATACTTTTTTATTTTTTTTTATTTCATTAATTTGTTTAAAATATAAGTTAAATATATTAACAATAACAGTACATTAGTAAGTTCATTTTAAATGCAATTTTTTAAATAAAAATTTCTAAATCCATTTGCCAACTGTTTTTCTTAGCAATTGGTTGGTTGTGTAAAATGCCACTGGATAGTTGAGATGTGGGAGCAACCAACGAACTTCCATGTGTGAACTGTCCAATGACATTTTATCGATTGGCAAAAGGATAAAGAAGGGCAAGTGGCAAATGGATAAAGAAAAGTAATCTGTAAATGCATTATAAAATTCAACTGAAATTATGCACTTAAAAATATTTATCAATTTACTGTTAAATTTAACTAGATTTTAAATATCAATCAAATAATCTTTAATATTGAATATTTAAAATAAACTATTTGAAAATGTATTTATTTACATTTAATTTTTTTTAATTTCATGATTATTGATTTTTTTTTTTTTAAGCAATACTTTTAGTCCTCCACAGTCCATATGTTTGCCACTTTTTTTAAAGAAAAATGAAAATTACAAGGAAGGACAGAAAAAAATGGGACTAGAAATGATGCATTGGCACCAGAGCTTAGAATGGTTAAAAACAACTATGCTAGGCCATGGATTTGATGGTTCTTTCTTTTAGATCAATTCCTTAACCATTTGAAAAGGTTGTTACCATCTCAGCCATAAATTTAATGCTGCTATACACCACTGTACATGTTACAGTTTGCGTGGAAAGATTTCACTCATGTAACATTGTCTAATGATGCATGTATTTGCTTTCGTGTGCTTTACCTCAGGGACGAGGCGGTCCAACTGTCTGACACGGTTTTGGTGGGAAGGGTGTGTGGACAGCCACTCGGGGATGGTGGGTTCGCCTCTCAACTGATCATAGATCTCCATCTGCTGCCAAAACACTGGGCCCGCCCTCACGTCAGCACACGCCTGACAGAAACACACACCAATCTCAATAAATACACATACAGAGATGGTTTTCAGGCATGATAAAGCTCCGTCACCATCAAAGGAAGCAAACAGGGAGATGACAAACACACACACACACACACACACACACCCATGAGCGCTCGAAGCTCTGGACAACGTCATTAGCTGGAGCTGAGAGCAGGCGGGATCAGGGACAGCATGACTCATGACTAGTCTAGCAAGCCTCGCATCGTTACCGCAGCAACGTGCCAGTGTCCTTCACCGAGCCGGCTGTGGCAGGCCAGATCTGGGCCCGTTTACGAGCAGCAGGCGGCCCGTTATTACTACTGTAAGAGATAGAAGGGAATTGACGGTTTCTCCATAATGATGCCAAGCATGGGATCAGGAGACATGCTGTCAGGAAGAGCACTACACCGTGAATCAGATCACTGCTACATACAGAGAAATGCTTCCGTCAAGCAGTTTGTAAAGAAACAGTGCCATCTAGAGGTCATGTAGGATCCCGTTGTTCCCAGTTTTAATTTATCCTAGTAATAAGAAGTTTCTAATTATTAGTTATACAGCTTTTATTTAGAGTGACATAGAGGTGAAATGTGTAATGAAATGTTTAGCATCCCTGAAAAAAAAAAAAAAAAGCAGTGATTGGTTAGAGTATATTTATTCATGTATTATATCACATTTACATCCAAATGCTAATTAATTTACATAATCTACATGAAACAAAACCTAAATCCCAAACCCTAGCTTTAACAGTTATTTGTTAACTGAAACTAAAACTATTAAAAATTGTTTTCAGTAATTCAAATAATGCTGAAATCAAATTCAAAACATAAATACCAGTTAAAACTAATACTTAATAGAATATAAACAATACTAAAATAACACTGAGCTATAAACAGCTTAAATCATCTTCATTTAGTCTGATTTCCTGATCAGAAAATGCTGTTTGTGTCAAGTTTGTGGAATTTTTATCAAGCCTGACACAGATGTTTTTCAGAAAATGGTTAAAGTCGGCATGAAATCAAAATTGACTTTATTTACTTTACTAGCGCACATTGCTAGTCTTGATGTTAACAATTAATCCGTGCAAGTTAATCAGCTGAAAAAAATTGTTTGTCTTCGTAATCTTTAATCAAAATCTGAACATTTGCTTCCGCTCTGGAATGGCAGTACTTCTCTGATGATGTCAGTTTGACGGCTTACGCAGAATATCCTTTTAAACACACCCCTCCAACCGTTAGTTTGATATGAGTGAGAGACAGAGAGGAGGAGCGCCAAAATAAAACCATGCCCTCTATTCAATATTCCGTTTCAGAAGGAAATACGTCACTACACTGAAATAAAGTCGGCAGCAACTTCCGGTTCACGCGGACTTCAAGGTTGATAATTCAGTTATGGGGTGTAAAACATGCTCAACGCCAAACGTCTACTTGCAGCTATGCTTCTGCGACGCAGCAATATGCTGCTTATCCATGGATTGTAAATTCTGAAACATATGAGCTGCTTACACTGTGAAACTTGTCTTATAGTGCATTTTAGGTGGACATTCAATATGTGCTCCCTTGGAATTGAACCTTGATAATAATAATAATAATAATAATAATATCTGCAGTACCTTGGCAGCCAGCTGCAGGCCAACCTGGTCCGCCTCTGCCTCCAGCTTACGACTGAAGGGCCGGTCAAATAAGAACTACAACACAGAGAAAATTAAAGAGAAAATATGCAGTTAAATGAGCTATTCTGACAGAGCACACACAAGCTATATTGAGTAAACAGAGGAAGATGGACAGAATAAAATGAACCATATTTGGAGAACAAAATGACTAGGAGATAAAAAGCCCAACCATTAAAATGTAATTTATTTTAAATGTAACAGGGGAAAGATGATAAAAAACAAGGAAAGAAAGGGATGAAAATATCCACATTAAAAGGAGAGCAAGAGAGTACACGGTATCTTAGAAGAAAAACACCATAAAAAAACCAAAGTACAATTAAATTGAAAGTGGGCCTTTGTTTCGCACAGTACAGTGATCCAGAAAATGCTAATTCAATATCCATTTAGAGAACAAATAAATGTAGCTGAATTTTAACTAACCTCAAATTGAAGTCTTTAGAAACCCAAATAAGATCTCCTCTGAGATATTGTTATTGTTTTACAATGGTGGCGAGAGAGTACTTGAGAAGGTTTCCTTGAGCTCGAGCAGAGGAGTATAATTATTAACGTTTAAACGGTCTTTTAGGGATTTTAGAATCAATATTTAAGGAGTGTTTGCATCATTAATGGACAAACCCAACCTAAACTCAGTCCCTTAAATGTCTTATACTTAATTCTGAACAAACTATATATATATAGAGAGAGAGAGAGAGAGAGTAACTGTTATAATAAATTCCTACTTTTATTCAGCAAGGATGCATCAAATTGATCAAAAGCGACAGTAAAGACATTTAAAATGTTACAAAAAATATGAATTCATATTTCATATTATTTCATATGAATGCTGCTCTTTTAAAATTTCTATTAAAGAATTCTGAAAAAAATATTTCCACATAGATCTGTCTGTCTGTCTGTCTGTCTATCTGTCTGTCTGTCTGTCTATCTATCTGTATATCTATCTGTCTATCTATCTATATATCTATCTGTCTGTCTGTCTATCTATCTATCTGTCTGTCTGTCTGTCTACACACACAAAATATACAAAAGTCATATTATTAAATTATAATATATGCAAGCACTTACATAAAAATATATAACCCGTAAAATATTTTAAAATAAACTATATTTTTTTATATATTTTATGTAAACATATTATATTTACATTGGTTTGAGACTAGCAAGACAAAGGGCCGCAACCAGTGGAAACATGTTGAAAGAAGGCACATTATGAATCAATTGAAAAAAAGAGAAAGAGAGAGATCATAAGGTCAGCCGTCACCTGCACTAGTTTGCCCTGTATCCACTGGCCCAGCACTGCTAAACTGTCCCGAGGACAGATCGCCCAGATCGCCGTTAACAGGATGAGAGACAACAGCTCCACCACGTGAGACAAACTGGCCTGCTCTGCCTGAGAAAGAGAGAGAAATTCATTATGGGCTTCTTTTTTTGTTGATTTCGTCATTTATCTACTATGCTAATTTGTTTGTAATTCTGTGTTAAGAACCTTTTTTTCACTCTTGCTTAGCAGCCCATTCTTTGACAGCATGCCCAATTAGGAACAATGCAGAAAAACAAACAAGCAATTTAACAAAGAGAGACATGATGAATCACACTGAATTGTAATCACGATACACACTGTATTGAAAGAAGGGCAACAGATATGCCAAAACATGTCCATGAGTGGCCGGGTATATGCCTCAAAGCAGATTTGTTGGGTAATTATGCCAGCTTCATGGTCATACAGTTGTATATGATGGTGTTGAAGGAGCATTCTGAGATTCTTGTGATAAGTGTAATGAGGTCTTGTGGTGTATACTGTGTATACAGTAACGGGAATCATTCGGTTATATTTTATATAATCATTTAACCTATTACAATAGCTTATTTGCATTAAAATTTATGTTTTTTATTTTTCATTACTGCTGTCTATCAACTCAAATTTTGGTTTGGTCCTTAAACAAAGCTATCGCATTCAAAAGACTTAAATAGCTCAAAAAATATAGCAAACAAATCATAAGTGACACTTTGGAGTCATTTTTTTTTGACAGCCACGGTTCACGGTCTACTTCAGTGTGGAAAAGAGCTGCTTGGACATTTTGCGAAACCAAAAGGACACACAAAATCTCCTTTTGTGTTTCACATATGCACTACCATTAATAAGGTAATAATAATTTATGCTTATGCTCATCAAGGCTGTTAATCAAAAATACAGCAAAACAGTAAAATTGAGAAATATTTTTTCAATTTAAATTTTAATATTTTAATAGATAATATATTAAAATATTAATAAAGAAATATATAAATATATAAATAGATACAGGGTGACACTGCGCTGTATATACAATATTGAAGAAAAATGCGATATGCGATACCTTGTTAAAAAATGTGATATACTCTATATACAATATTGTTTAAAGTGTGTAAAATCAATTTCATTTTAAATATTTAAAAATTAAAATTATATAACCAATTTGTTTCACATTCTTTCTTGGAAAAGAAAGAATCACTACAACTTCTGAAAGTGACCAGCACAGCAGTTTTAGCATTACATAAAAAGAAATGTCACAAATTAGAAATTGTAATTTTAACATCAGTGTGAACATACAAAAAAAAATTGTAATAATAATGGCACTAATTTTATATCATTGTAACTTTGCTTTCCATACACTTTAAGTGCTTCTTCATATACCACAGCAAAAACTATAGTCTGAGAAAGTTTAAACATGATTAAAGGCAAGTGAACAGTCAGTAAAAAAAAGAAAGAAAAAGAAAAAAAAAAGAAATACACAATTTACAAGCATAGATAAAATAAACAGTAGTATTCAGGTACAGAAATTTAATAATTAAGTGTAAAATAACACTGCATAGTGTTCACTATATGAATTAAATTTAGATTCATCTTTGTTATAGCCGTTTTGTTGTTTTGTTAACATTAGTGACATATTCAGCAGCACGTATTTATAGGCTGCTGTCCCTTTAAATCCGACTGCAGGGATCCAGTATAATGATACACATCCGATTTCTTTCTCAGCTGTTTACATTCATTTAAAACATAACCGACTGCGTTTACGAGAATGATCGTCGAGACGGGTACTATTGACATAATTCTGTGTGTATGTGTCTGTTCAAACATGAGGAGATGCGTAAGACGAATCAACTCGGTGTTCGAGCGCCGTCTGAAACGCGTCTCTCGGCAGAACTGAAGATATGCTGTGCGAGATGGGGCTTGTGCACACGCTTCAGGTGTGAGTCAGACAGCAAGAGTGCAAACAACCTATTAGTTTAAATGGATTAGAAATAGTACATAGAAGGGAAGCTGCATTTAGTCTCAATGGATTCTGGGAGTTTACATTTGAAAGTTTGATAGCTGGAGTTTGAATAGTCTTGGCTCATCTGAACATTCCATCAATGTAAGTCTATGGGATTTTTGGTGGTTTTGATAGTCTGGTTTACGAAAACTGTAAGTCAGACCAGTCTGAAGGTCTGGGCCGAGTTTGATGGTTCTAGCTTGAAAGCTCTAAGAGGAGATAGGCGTCGAAATTTGGCTCAGAAGAATAATAATAATAATAAGATTAATTTCCTGATCCTGGTAGAGTAGACTACAATGCCGGCTGTTCTGACTCACAGACTGTAAGTTTTTTATATTTAAGGAATTTGCCACTGACGATTCAAACTAATGTGTTTTTTTAACCTTAAACCGCATAAACACATTTCATTACATCAAATACACAAAATAATGTTCTTTTTAGCAACAGCATATAACCCCTTTAATTATAATTTCAAGAGATCTTACAGTTGGGGACAGAAAGACAAGAGTCGCGATACGGCTGGATTAAACTTCAAAAGGCAATGATGTCATTGAATAAATATGAGCACTGCATGTTTCAAGTCAAAACTCGGCGCGGATGTCTTTATTTGAATGTATCTGAAGGCAACTGACTGTCCTCAGAAACGTGTCGTTGGCATTTTAATTTCATTTTACCTATAATTCCTGATAAAACAGCGTTTATGAGCTCGGAGCTGCTTTGTGTACAGCCGTTACCGGGGAAACCACAATATTTAAGCGCTCCTAAAGCGCCACCTCGTGGCAGAGAATGAATTTGCATTTCCAATAAGCCTTTCTTTGTGATTATGGTCAGATCAATGCAAAATATCAATTCATGTTTTTACGCAGCAAACACAGAGTTGTAAATGAGAAAGAAGTTAATGTGCCTTCTAAAATCTAAACAATTAAGACAGTAATATTTATACATTTTAAATTGACAATTTATATGCTTGATTTATCCCTTTTCATAAAAATGGTCTAAAGGCTGAAATGCTGTTGTATAAGATTTTTGTTTTTGTGAAAACCTGTATCTGAACTGTAAATCATGGCTTGCATGGCTGCAAATTAAATGGCTTTCTCAAGCCAACTTAAAAAGGTTTGAAATCTGTTCCAGCATCTGCTACTAGCTTGTTGCAGCTTTGAAATAACAAAGGAAACACTCATGAGCCTAACAGCATGTTGCTTGGCTTTAAAGGGACTTTTTAATGTCACAGAAAAATGTACTAAATCATTTTATTTTTTCACAACCACGTCATATTAGTCCTGATATCAGTGTTAAGCTCCTTCACCCTAACCAGAGCCACAAGCATGCAGTGATGCAACAGCTCTGAAACTAAAACAACTCTTTAAACCGAACCCTTAACAGCGCTTAGTGCCTCTGAGAGAGGACGCCTCCTTCTCTTCATTTAAACCAAGAGAAGAGATGAAAGTAAAACACGACACATGCAAAAGAGAGATAAAGTGAGTACTTGAATCTAATGAAGGGTCTTTTACTTCCAGAAAAAAGTTGAGAGACACAGCAAAGGAAGTACAAATTTAGTTTGATCCAAACTATAAAGGCCAGAGGCAGTGTGACGACCCTGACAATGGGTGCAGATAGCAGACCATGTAATACTCATATACATTTACATTTAAATCAAAATGACCCTAAGGGAGAGATTACTTAGAGAAATTAATACTACGCTCTTGGATACTTTACTTTTAGCATAATTCATTATTGGGTTAAAATAGATTCTGATAAAATGACAAAAATAATGTCCATTCGGGCGTTTCTGTGCAGCGGTTTGACAGTGTGGGCGGGACTTACTGCATGACCAATCAGAGCGTGAGCCATCTCATGTCCCAGTATGAATACCAGCTGATGGATGTCTGCTACAGCCTCCAGCATTCCTGTGAAGATGAAGACATTTCCATTCTGACACACACAGACACACACACACACAATCATTCCAGCTGTGAAATCAGAATAATTTTCTCCTCTTAGTAATCAGTCTCAAGATTTTCTTTAATCATCTGCAGTGAATTAAGAACACTTCTCTCTCTTTACGAGAGTACTAAACTGTATGAAGAAATGTTCATACACGTAGCTAATAAAAAAATTGTCAAAAACTGTCTGGGTAATTTCACAAACAGGAAATTCAAGAATGAGGGTTCGATTACAGAGTATCTATATATTTTTATTAGGACTGTCAGTCAATTAAATTTTTTTAATCTAATCAATAACATGATGTAGCGAGTAATTGTTCTAATTAATTGCAAATTAAATTTGGCTGTGAAAAAATACCCACAAAAAATAATTTTAAGCCATTATTGTGTTAAATGAGAAAAGTATCAAGTAGACATTACAAAAAGTAGCTTTAGAAATAAATATTTTATTTGATTCAGCATAAAATGTATTACACTTAAACGTTTAGGCTATAACGGCCTAACATAAACTATGGAACATAAAAGATGATCATTTGAAAAACATCTCAGTATTTTTTGTTCATACAAAGAAAGTCATTGGTAACCAAAACAGCTTGGTTCCCAAGAGTCTTCAAAATACCTTCTTTTATGTTCCACAAAAGAAAGTAAGTCATACAGGTTTGAAACGACATGAGGGTGAGTAAATGATGACTGTGGGGTATCAGACCGAATCAGACAATCTAAGATTTGGTCAAGAACATGGTTGAAACACGAGGAGCCGAATTCCACAGAGGCCCAAGACACAGGATGTTCGTAAATCAGATCCTGGCGCCACAAGCCAGTCTGAAGCAAGCCTAACCAACCAACTTTCACAGAACAGCTTTCAAAATTAACACAAGAGAACACACTGATCATAACATCTCAGGAAGGAGATTGTCAATTTTGGGGCAAGTAAGCAAGATTAATGGTCAAAGAAATGCACAGCATGACCATCATGTAAACCAGTGATAGTAATCACTTTAACCAGACCACAACTCCGCGTCGTCAGCCAACGCCCAACCACTGGCTTCCCAAGACTGAACTTCCAGCCAGTCAGTAACCGCGGGAAACCCCCTTTTCTGCAAGGATGACAACAAATGGAACCCCGGACATGCAACGCAAGTACCTCCAGATTCTAGCTGAACTGGTGCATTTAATATAAATTTTAACCTCATTGAGGAACTCAATGCGAGGGTTAATTAAGTGATTGATGGTTGTTCAGGTCTATGCACATATTAGAATGATTTCTTAAGGATCATGTGACACTTTATACTGGAGTAATAATGGCTGATGGAAATTCAGCTTTGCACCACAGAAATAAATTATATTTAAAAGGATATTAAAATAGAAACCGTAATAACATGTTGCAAGATTACGTTTTTTTTCTATATTTTTGATCAAATAAATGCATGAGCATAAGAGACTTCTTTAAAAAATATATGTATATATGCACATACACGGCCTGTTTGTTTGCACATTAATTATGGACTCGTGTGTCTAATTGTGTACGATTGCTGTATGTCCTGTAATCGTCTTTACCTCCATTACAATCGTCATCCATCTAAACTTTACTGGTGATATACTGGTTTGCTTTATTCAGCCCATACAGACTAGTCCTGACTTCATATTTCTTATTAAGAGAGGGATGTTTGTTCCCAACAATCGCTGCAGAAGTTAAGGTTACGCATGATGACGAAAGCACGTTGGTGCTCGCCCTCCCGCCACAGAACGTGACTGATGCTGATTGCACTATATATCCAGAGACAGATCAAACAGTCTAGAACAGTGACAGCTGTGGTTGAATGTCATAGAAAAAAATCCCTCCCTTTTGCACTTTGGTGGTGCGTCGACGTAATGAAGAAACCTCCCGTCTTTTACAAAGACTTTGATGAAATAGGGACATATACATAATACATATACATACTACAGTCAAATAAGGACATATGCATACTACTGTTCAAGTATTATGCTCACAAAGACTGCATTTATTTGATCAGAGAGGAAAAACAGTAATATTGTAAAATATTATTACAATTAGTAATTACTAGTAAATAGAAATTAAATAGAAATAGCTATTTTCTATATGAATGTATTTTAAAATGTAATTTATTTCTGTGTTGGCAAAGCTGAATTTTCAGCAGCCATTACTACAGTCTTTAGTGTCACACGATCTTTCAGAAATCATAATAATATGCTGGTATTTCTTCTTATTATCAATGTCATAAATAGTTGTATTGCTTAATATTTTTATGGAAATTGTGATTTTTTTTTTTAAAGAACAGCATTTATTTGGAAAAAAAATTTTTTGTAACTTAAGAAAAGTCTTTACAGTCACATCAGTTTAATTTCAATTCAATTTATTTCTTCATTGCTAAATAAATATGTATTACTTTGAAAAAAATGCTGTATGCCCAAAATGCTGTATCAGTACTTCATATTGTGTATTATTCTCTTTTTTTGTGTATGTATATAATGCTCAACATACAATATGTTGGATAATGAAGAAGCAAGTCTTCTAAATACACGCAAACTATAAGACTGACGATTTCTTTGCAGTTAGAGTTGCTTCTCAAAATTGGCAAAACAAAAAATTTAAATAACTAAAAAAATGAATAGACTTGGATTATTATTAGAGAAAGACTCACAGGCAAAACAAACGCATTGATTGTGGGGCCGTCCACCACATGGACCGTCCAGGGGACAGAGGAAATCTCAGCAATGTCCTGGTTTCTCTCGGCCAGAATCCGAACCGCTTGCTCCACCACCTGATGCCTGGGATCCGATGGAGCGATCAGAGAATCCTTAAACTCCTCCATATACTGAGAGAGAGAATGAAGGAGAAAGAGGAGCAACAGTCCATGATATTAAATGAAATGAAATAATTCAATGATTTGAAATGAAATGAAACGCCACATTTAATTTTCATAATATCCCATAGCACAGGAAAATGTAATTCAGACTAATCATTTTGGACCAGCTCCAGGCACTGGCATACAACTATTTGCAACTTGTTGCAACCAAAAAAATAACCGTAAACAGACTAAACAAGTTGTGTGGACATGACCAACTGCACGACTGAGGTCGTACCTGCTGAACACCAGCAGTCGGGTCCTGCCTGTAACTGGAGATTCATCCAGGTGAGTGAGTAAAACGAGGGAGACGAAGAACAGCAGTCCTGCCCCTGCTCCCACAAAGTGCCAACGTCGACGCCACGTCCATTCACGAAACAGCTGCTTTTTATTGGGCGGCAGGGCCAACCACCATTTTCTGATGCTCCTAGAGACAAAGAAAGAGATACACATAAAATCTGAATTTTTATCATTAAACCTTAGCTCCCCCTCACAGAAAACCAAGAACTTTGGTGCCATGACCTGCCATATGCACCCCATTAACTAACCACAGTAATAATGTAGTAGTACATGGAGACAGTATAAGCCAAGGATTTTGGTAGATTTCTGCTTTTCACATAACCTGCAGAACATTTGGTGGACTTCCTGCAGGTTATGTGAATATAAAACATTTTTGTAAACTGTTCTGGACTATAAATGCCTCAAATGTACACGTTCACTATTGTTCACTTTTTTTTTTTTTTTAAGAAATCAGCTAATAATTAGGGGTAGGAAAAAACGGAATTGATTTAAAATATTGGCCACTATATCCATCACTGGCCATAACAAAAGTAATAACATTCTGACTAAATATGTATCTACAAAGAATATAGGCCTATTTAGATGTAGTTATCTGATGAATTTTATGTTAAAAAGTTGTACAGATTTAAAATATTGGCCATCCTATTCACCATGTTGTATAAAAATACACCGGCTGCCCAATATAGAGTTGCACACTCTAATATTTCTGAGCACTTTGATTAAATTGTGCATTCACTGTGGCATTGTTTTGACAATGTTACGCAACATCACAACATTTATTTCCATCAAGAGATGCTTTAATTTTTGACTCTCAATGGGAGAGTCGAACCACTCTGTAAAGTCGACTCCAGCACATCCTAAAGACTTTCAATAGGGTTAAGCAACTTAAGCTCAGGACTCTGTGGTGGCCAGTTTATACATGAAAATGAAAATATGAAATTCCTCATGATCCCTACATCACTATTTCACAATTTGGGTGACACTGTCATCCTGAAATATGCACATGGGTACGTCTTTCAAAGTTAAGAAATGAAATGATACACAATGCATCAGTTAGGATTAAAAGAGTCGTTGCAAACCATATAACATGCCAGAAACATTCATCTCTGCACTAATTATCCAATCCTAGACTCTTCACTATTTGCTTATTTAAATCCAAATGGCAGCTTTTTTTTGGCCATTTAGTGTGTCATATCTTGGGCAGCAGCATCGGTCATCACTCTTGCTAGTTAATAACCTAGAGCTTTCCACTGATTCACCAGTTTTATTTGTTCTTGACACAGGCTGATGACTGAAAAAAAAAAAGTAAAACCTCACCTGCCCAGTATGATGGCCATAAGCTTCTGTAGAGGCTTCAGCACCATCCATATCAAGGGTGCAGGTAAAGCTCTCAGTCTGCCTGAGGTGTGAAACTCACGCGTGGGCTGAATGATCAACGGCGCCCGATCAGCTGGAGGTCTGAATGCAGTTACGCAGGTGTTAAGTCCTGATCTTGATCTCAGACAGAGAGATGAAGAAGCAGCAGTGACGTATCCTCTTGATTTCAGAGAGGAAGACGAGTTTTTCCTCATGAGATCAGTCCGAGCAGAGGCACAGAGGGATGCACGGCGGTGAGCCTGTCTCTGTCCACAACATCTGATCACTGAAGGGAAGCGGTTTAATGCTCTTATGGTGGACAGCATATCAAGTTTGACCAGGCGAATACAAATCTGCTCCATTGTCATTATAAAACACACTGAACATTCAACTTCATACCCTCGTTTGCGTAATAATTATAATGATAAACTAAGTCACAGTTTGTAGGTTATATGGGCACATTATGCATTTTAAATTCACATACTAATCTCAGTCTTAAAGCAAAGTCTATGAGTCTACATGTAGCAGGTGGCATTACACTTTAACCAGACCGCTAAAACATTCAGTGCTGTTAGACTTTCATTGCGACAACCGCTTAATTATACACACTAATTATTTAAAAAGTTTATCTGTCTGTTTTGAGAAGTTCTTCATTGTAAAGATGCCCTCGAAACTCTCCTCCGCGTACTTCACTGCGACAGTTAAATCTCTCCCCCTGCGAACGGCGGCACTTCACCATGGTTCCGTCCGTCAGTCACATTTATTTATTTAGTCATTTGGGGGGGGGGGGTAATAGGGTAATATTACTGGGTAATAGTAAACCATTTTTTTCTTTAGGACTACACCACTGATATACACATATACATATACATATTATGCACACACACACACACACACACACACACACACAAAGAAAAACAAGTAGAATAGAAAAAATAGAAAGCTAGTGTTTTTTTTGTTTTGTTTTTTAAATAAAAAAAGAAGATAAATATAGATAAAGTAGAATTAAAATAGAATAGAAAGTGTTAGAGTTAGAGGGTCAAATAATGACACAATCATTCATATTTTAACACTACACGATACCTTTTATTAATCATTCCATTGTTTTCTGGTCATTTTTACCCGCTTTTAGTAGAGAATACACAATTACCACCGATATTTTTAATTCTGCATTTTAGTAAAACTTTATCGTGTCTGTTCAGATCTTGACATCTAGTGTAAACCCAAAACTGAATAGGTGTTTATATGCAAATGATATTATGAAACGCTAAAGTGAATTAAATTAAACAGGAAAAAGTACAGCTTTTGCCAGTTATATCAAAGTTCACCATTTTGTTTTTACTCAAATTGTGTTACTCCAAATTCAGTGAATCTTTTTCATAATCAGTGGCGGTTCTATCCCACAGTAATTGGGGGGCCAGGCAGGGGCCACTTGTGCTTTTAGGGGGCACACTTTTACAATTCCTCTTAACCTACTTCCAGTATTATTTATTCAGTCATTTTTCACCATGTCTTTTATCACTGCAATCTCTAGAAGTAAGCTATAACGATTTCAACTCAAATGAATGTTTCATCATGTTTAATTTATCTGTCAAATAATTATAATTTTGTATTGTAGTGTCAGGGGCGTCATGCACTCATTTTTTGGGGGGCACGAGTGAAGGGGGGGGGTTCTCGTCATGCTTGTCATGTGACACACAGCAGTCACTGTAACTTATAGGTTATAATTATGTTTTATTTATTTCTTCCCCCTTTTTATTCGAAATATTCCCAAACGTGTTAACTATATCATGAAATATCTCGATTCTCAAATATGTAAGTAAATGCATGTTGCACCTTTATAGATTATGTTAGTTGATCATAATGGGCAAAAGCCTAATAGTGTAATCTACGCATAAAACCCCATCTTTTTACTGAAGTACCAGATATGGGTGTCATGCCATCAAATATTTTAATACGACTGATTTTGTATTTAACGTGAATTTAATAAAAACTTTGTAAGTTACTAATTATAACACTTTCATTGTACAGAAAGAGAGCAAAGCACATTTATCAGAGAAGATTATCATTGACTTCAGTCTAGCCAGAGTTCAAGCACTCTCAAAAACTCCCATTATAATCACTGAAGCTGTTTACACTGTGAAATTAATATCTTGCTTACATTCGTACGCACATCTGCACTTTGTTGTTTCTGATGAGATTTCGCCGAGAGCAGAAATCAGTCAGCGAGCGCGCGCACTGCGCACTGAACAAAACTCCGGTGTTTCAGCGACGATGACTCATCTGAACGCCTGATTGGCCATTGCATTCATAAGCTCAACAGAATCGTGTGTGATTGGTTATAATGCGCAGCGCTGTAAAAACGCGTCTGTCTCTGGCTCTTGCGCCTGTCAGCGAACGCAGATTAGATGTTATACTTTTTTATTATAAATATAAAAATCTACATGAATGCAATGTTACACATACAATGATACATTTGTTCTCTGCAGTAGCAGATTTCTTTATGCTAAGTTCTTCCATTGAGGTTGTTAAGATTTATTGTTATTATTTACACAGTTTCTGTACTGATAGCTTGTGTAACAGGTGCATCCTCTTCTTCGTTACAGCTTTTAACGTGGTTGACAGGTCTTGTAGTGTACAATTCATCTGGGCTGTCAGACTCAGTAACACGAGTCTCATTCGTGGCCTGGCTGCTGTTGATTGGCTCAGAGGAGATGAATGACAGTAACTGAGGCTGCCTTACTGTTTCATGAAGATGAGAGGAGGAAGAGCCAGTCTCGGGGAGAAAGTGTGTATTAAACAAGGTTTCTATCTGTAACAGGAAAGTCTCAATGTCAATCTCTGAGACCTGCTCCAAAATCTTCTGGATTGACGTAAGCATCTATGGACAGACAGACAAAAGAGATCATTTTTAATTATAAAAAGAATCATTTTATAATTGTAATTATTTAGCAGAACTCATTCAACTAACATGTAACAATAAATGCATATAAATAAATATCGATTTATTCACTGTGAAATCAATTATTATTAGTGCTCAATCATTAATAATGGTTCTTGATATTTTCAATATTGAACATTTTTTCTGCTTCATATTTTTTGTGGAAACTGTGATACATTTTACTTTTCAGGATTCTTTGATGAATAGAAAGTTCAAAATAACAGCATTTGTTTGAAAAAAAAATATTTTGTAACATTATAAAGGTCTTTACTGGCACTTTTGGCTAATTTAATTTGTCCTTGTTTATTTATTTAAAAAAAACATGTTTTTAATGGCACTTTTGAATGGTAATATATTATGGTTTCCACAAAACATATGAAGAAGCACAAATGTTTTCAACATTGAGCAGCAAATCAGCATATTAGAATGATCTCTAAAGGATCATGTGACACTGAAGACTGGAGTAATGATGCTGAAAATTCAGCTTTGCCATCACAGGAATAAATTACATTTTAAAATATATAAACATAAAAAAAAAGTTATTCTAAATTGAAATAATATTTCCCAATATTAATGTTTTTATTGTATTTTTGATCAAATAAATGCAGCCTTGGTAAGCATGTGAGACTTCTTTCCAAAAATCTTAAGGATCCCACACTTTTGACCAGTTATATGTTTTAAATTAACTATTCAATTTGACAATGATGCAATGATGATAATCTTGAATATTTGAGAAAATCTACATAATTTCAATAAACTGTATCACTCTGAACTGAATTAGAAATGGATCAGCAGACAGCTTAAAATGTCAAAATACATTTGCAGATATTTCAAAATTGATTTAACAAATTACCAATAAATGTTGAATGCTAGACATAATGAAAAATCAGCCATTAAGTTTCTGTTTGTGAAAATTGTACTGCCATCGAATACAAATGACCTAATTCAACAATAACCCAAAGTTCTATCAGTCTGGGCAGTGAAGGAACAACTCTGAAACTCTGAACTTGTAAAGGCTGGAACTTATGCAAAATTGAAATAAAATGTAAATTACACAGAGTTTTAACTTTAGTTAACTTTAATGCATGTGCCTTAGAGTAATGAGTATTAATTTGTAATTTATTCTGAAGCAATATTTTCAGTCTTCTATATCAGTTCTTACATAAATCAGCATATTTGTATTTGCCCCCTCAAATTGATTTCCAAGGCTTTTTTGTTTTTTACCTAAATAAAAGGCAATTTTTTCATAATCATATCAAATGTTTGTGTTATCTTTCATATAAAATTCTTACATTTTATTAATAAATTTAATTTTTTATAGTAAGCCTCTATCGGGCTGTTAGCAATCAAATAAAATCAGTATCAACAAAATTTATGTTTCCACTGCAGAAGAAACGGAAGCAGCTGAAGTGGATGCATTTACACAGACAGCTTAATGAAGCTCAAATGTACTATGAATGCATTAACATTGCAAAATTACAACTGCATAAATAATGTTATGAGCTTAGAGTTTTAAGTCACAATGTCAATACATTATTCATTATCAATCGTCATTTACGCTGAATGTAATAAAATCATAATCATTCTAGCTGAGATCTCTTGCAATTTTCAAGTGCAGTACTGTATATACACTGGGCGGACTGTGGGTGTGATATGAAGTCTAGATGAGACTTATTACCTTTTCCAGGCAAGTTAGAGAAGAATCTCTGCGGAAGAGCCTGTCCATTGGTACACTCCTGTAAGAAGAATAAAATATAATATATATAATATATATATACATTTTCAAATGTTCTATTTGAATATATTTTAAAATGCAGTTTATTCCTGTTATGGCAAATCTGAATTTTCAGCATTCATTGTCACATTTATATCACTACAATATTATTTGAGGCTAGTTTATGAAACTGTGAATAATGTGCAGCGTTTTGTAACTTTATATTCCTATTTTTATGTATTCTAGCTTCCCTCTTCCAGTCGAAGACAAGGTTGCCCACACAAAAACACACATAAAACACGCAGCTCACCCATGAGACAGCCTGTACTTGAACACCACCCATTCTGCTCTTCTCATCACTTCTGACCAATCAGGAAGCTCAGATGAGTACTGGATGTTAAACCGGTATGGAAACCCTAAAAAACAAACAACCCGAACTGATTCAAATTCAGCTGCAGCCGTTGTTGGGCTTATTTTATTATTTACACCTTTGTTCATTTATTCTTTAACAATCATGACTCTAGCACTTAGCACAAAGACCATTAAACATTTACAGAACACAGATAACCTAGAATAAGAAGTGTTAAAGCTGCTGTAAGGGATTTGTAAGTGAATGCATGAGTTTCATGGAAGAAGCTGTGACATACTCTGAGGTCCAGAGGGTCCGGTCTCCTCCTGTACCAGCAGACAGGTGGTCTGAGACAGGGGAGACGGGTTATTTGAGTTATACGGACTGACAATCATTCCGATGAATGGAGCACCTCCTCGAGAGAAATAACTCTGCCATAAAAACAGACAGAGAGGATGTGACACATAACCAAAGACACCATCCTAGTCCAAATACAATATAATACAGTGATGTGTTACCTGGTATTTGGCCTGAGTGTCAATGTCTCTGAGAGAGGGGTTGGGGTCAAAGTCTGGATGAGAGTGGTACCAACCAACCACACTTTGACCTTTGGCCCCGAGCAGCTCCGATGCCTGAGTCTGAGAGACGGGGTCCATCTCACACTGCAGACCTGTGCTCAGGCTGTTGCATGGTTCTGCTGCACAGATCTGCACAAACATCAGCAAAATAACAAACGAATCATCATGCATTTATTGTCACAGCATTCTTAAACTGACTGAACTAACCGCCAGACTCTATGATGAATGAATCTATGAATTAACTGACCTTTAACACCTTCTCTTCCTCTTCATATGTTCCTCCTAAAAGGCCAATTACCTCTCCCATGGATACATGAGCATGCTGAGAAAGGATTGGACTATTAGTACAACATAATACTGAGAAATTAATGAAAAAGCCAAAAAAAAAACTAACAAAAACAAACCCAAGATTAACTATATCTGGAAACCAGCTCTACATCATACTCACTATGTCCATGACAATAAGAGCCTCAGCACAAACTATCACTCTGAACGGTTCCTGAGACAAGAAGACACAACAGACAAAATAAGTTTGATGAGATTTATTTCTATACAACAAAATAAATGACAAGTGTTATTTTATTATCACCGAGACACTATTATAGTTTATTAAAGTTGATTACATTTTTATGATTTTTTTTTTTTTTTAGTTTTTATACATTTTTATTTCAGTTTTAGTTTTTTAGTACATCAAGTTAAACTAAATGAAAATAAGAAATTGGCAAGTATCTGAAAAGAAATAAGTTTTTTTTTTTTTTTATAACTGATTTCGTTTCGGTTAACGTTTATTTTATTTCAAGTAACTCTTTTTTATTATTTTAGTTTTAGTTAACTATAATAATCCTGATGAACACACAAATTATGAAGAGGAATTACAGTAGAACTGGCAAACACAGGCATTTCGGTGGCACTTCCCGCTTGAATTGTTTCAATGATTAGGACAATTCCTAATTATGGAATTTACGTGAAGGCTGGAACACCCTATATGACTTTTGCTCAGATTTTCCCGATTTACAATCTGGAGAAGTCAATGCAAGTTGCCTAAAGTCATAGCAAGCCAGCTGATGATGCCCAGTTTTTATCTCTAGCCATTGACAAAGTTGACAAGTGTATGATGGCTAGTGTTTTAAAATCTGTATTCCAGTCTTAAGGGTGAGGGGGTATGATTAATTGTGTTTATTTTTTTTTTAATCATAATTTTAGAATTAATTGTACTTAAGATAAAATGATAAACCACGTTTTTAAACATTTAAAGACTGATCAGACATTATTAACAAGTAATAGAGTCCGACCGATATATCGTTTTGCCGATATTATCGGCCGTTATATGAGCTTGTCGCCGATATGAAATTTTTTTTCACAGAACATATAACGCAGATAAAATGCTTGAAATGGTGTAATTACGTAGTTTGTCCAGCAGAGTGCGCGCCATTGTTTGCTACTGGCGACCTGGATGAAACGCTTTAAAGCTTAATTCTATGGAAAACCATTGAAACTCTGAACCATATCTCCATAACGGCGCGGCGAATCCGCAACAAATTCGGGGGATCCCTTCAGCTCGAGGAACCCTCTCGAACGTGAATCGAGTGTACGTCTAGAGGCCCGCTTTCGAATGAGACCACCCCCGCATCGATAGCCCCCGGGGTTCGGGAGTTACAGGTGGTTAAATTTGCGGTCCGGCGCCGACCGATCAAGCGATCCCGACACGCGGAGGGTGGTGTTCGAGAGGGCTCTTCGAGCTGAAGGGATCCCCCGAATTTGGTGGAGATCCGCCGGCGCGTTCGCGAGATAGTGACAACAGTCAACACTTTCACTTTGTAAGGAGGTCTCTTGTTCAGGCAGCAGCATTCAAGCGTGGTTTTATTCGACCGTAAGTGCCCTGCGAAGTGGACTTCACATGAAATTCCGCCATGATTCCAGTTCCAAGGGAACGTACACGTTACATTCAAAGGGCATTAAAGTGCGCGACACGTGAATTTATATTGTATTTATTTACAGAGGTAGGGGAAAGCGGGGCACAAAGTAACACTTTTTGACTTTCTCAGTTTGTGTAAATCCACATGGGGTTCAGAATATATATAT